ACAGAGGAGTTCAGTGCTCCAGTTTACTCATTACTGGAGAACTAACAAGTTATATTAGGCATGAATAAATAATTTCAACACTAGCTTTAGATTTGAAGAACAAACAGTTTGATGGCAAGTCAATCATATAAACACAGAGGCAATTTTTATTCTTCTATAGTGCCTTCATGAAATGTCCCAAGAAGCCCTACTATTTAACAACTGGAAGAAATTTCAGACAAAAAGAACTACAATATTTTGAATTTCGAAAGGAGAAATTTAGAAAGGCTAAAATCATAATACTGCTATAGAAAGAGAACCAATACAATATAAAAGCTTTCTTTCCAGAAACAAAATTTTATTCTGGAGTATATCTAAATCCAGATATGTCCACAATTTGATAACACTTGCTTGAAGGAATGACCTGAACAGTTTTTCCAAATGATCTAGAGTATTCCAAAGTTTTCTGTTCTTTTATAAAATGTTTTCTCTTCTAACTAAGATTTCCAGACAAATCATTAACTATTTCCTTCTAGGAAATGGCTGGAATAAAACAGCAGATTTAATAACATGTTCAAAATGTCCATATATTTCAGCTCATGATCAACCCTAGTAATGGAGTCTTTTCAGGAAATGCTGATTGGATATGCATAGAATTCGTATAGGAATTTAGGACTACAAAGATGGTGCGTACTGTCTGAGCTGCCAGCTGGTTTCTCCAACAGGTCTCCAGAGCAGCACATACCCTATTACAGCTTTAAGATTTTGGCTGACAGCTAGTACCCCTAAACTTTAAATTCCCTCAAATATCAAGGATGGAGCTTAGAAAATTTGAAGAGGCACATAAGACAGATAAACAAAAAAATTAGACCCCATTACACCAAAGAAACTTATAGCAACTAGCACAGAANAACTCAAATGTTCTTCAACTAATGAATGGATAAACAAAATGTGTACTTCATTCAGGAATGAAATAATAATACATGATAAAACATAGCTAAGCAAAAGAAGCCAGTTACCAAAGGCCACATATTATAAAATTCCATTTATATGAAATGACCAGAATAGACAAATCAATAGAGACTAAAAGTGGGGCTGAGATGATTGGGGAATGGGGAATGACTGCTAATGAATATGGAGTTTCTTTCTGGGGTGATGAAAATGTTCTGGAATTAGACCATGGTTATGGATCCAAAATTCTGTGGATATGCAAAAACCCAACAAATTATATACTTTAAAAGAATAAACATTATATGTGAATTACATCTCAATTTGAAAATAAATGACAGTTGACTATTTAAAACAAAATAACAATATATTTTGGGGTTCATGTATAGAAGTAAAACGTATGAGAGTATCACAAAAGTCAGGACTTACACTGTTGAATGATCCTTAAATTACAGGTGAAATGGGAAAATATCACTTGAAAATAGTCTTTGATAAATTAAGGATGTATACTATAATCCCTAAAGCCAGTGAAAAGGCCCAACAAAGAATTACAGCTAATAAGCCAATAGAATCATAAAAAAGTATTAAACAAAAGAAAGCTTTGGTTGAATATAAAACAAACAATTACATTAAAAAAACTTCAATTTCTGATAAGAACTTGCAAATTCAACTATTCACATCCTAATGGGAAGTGACTACATTGGAGATACAAGTAACACAAGTTGGCCTACAGATAAATCCTGTCGACTGCTCAACATAATAATTTGTAACAAACTAGATACTGGAAATTCCTCAACAACATAAGCCAGGGGTTTAAAAACTTTTTCTATGAAGGGTTTAATAGTAAATGTCTTTGGCTTTGTGAGCATACAGTCCCTGTAGCAACTCTGCCATTGAACACAAACGGAGCCATAGATATTAAAATAATGACTATGGCTGTGTTCCATTAAAACTTTATTTATAAAACAGGTGGCAAGCAGATTTGGCCTATAGGTCATAAACTACCAAAACATGACTTAAACTTTGCTTGGGAAGGCAAAATGTAACAAAAAGTAAGTAAAATAAACCAGTCAAATAGGACACATGTTAAAGGAATGTATAGATACTATTACAGAGGCAAAAGGAAGAGTCTTTATAAAATTGTTTTCCAAGTGAAGGAAATAACAACAACAACAATAATGCAGGCTAATTTTCTTTTAATGAAAACA